GTGTGTGAGCATGTTTGTGGGAAAGAAAGTGTTCTGAGGGCTAAACAGGAGATGTAGGAATTGCAGAGAGACCTATTTCAGGTGAAGTGAGCACCTCACACTCGGACTCCATTAGCAAAATGGTTTCTCTCATTTAAGGGCGAGTATAGGTTAATTAATATTTGTTTGCTGCATTATCTGTAATTCACTAAGCTGTTTTCCACGGTACTTAACTGCCTACCTCTTTCACTTATTCTCCCCACAAAATACAACAGGACAGAGATGCGAAGAAGAAAAAAGCTTTTGAACATTTGGTAACATGCTGGACACAGCTAAAGGGCAGCAGATGTCACTGGAGTGGCTTTTGTTTTGTTGCACTGATCAGGCAGCGCTTTAAGACCATCCTATTGTTGCAGTTTATTGTCATTCACGTTGGGCCTTTTCAGAGGTTATATACTCCTCTGCCCCTGAAGCCCAAGGAAAGGCCAGAGATTGCCATCACCCTCTGGTTTCTATTTAGAACACCTCCAGTTTCACATTTAAAACACCTTTATGCAGATCAAGCAAAGCACTTACTTCTCAAAGATTAGATTTATCCTGAGGACTTGACTTACCATTCCCATTGTCCCAAGCCCCTCTCTTCTGATCCATGGCCAAAAAAATGGCATAGCATCACAAGCTGTGTGAGATAAGGCATGTCCCATGGTCGGTTTGCCTGAGCTAAACACAGTATTTAAGCCAAATCCTGGAGCCAGAGAATTCCATGCAAACCTTTAGGGGCTGTGTGAATATGTAACACCTCACTTTGGAGGGCTGATAGTTAACCAAAGATTCCTCCTTGTGTCTGGTAAGGCAGATGGATAGAATTGCTGTGTTTTACGTATTACCTCAGATATGGTTAGTATAACTTCATTATTTGGATCACAGCTGGGATAAGCCCAAGAGAAAGGATCCTGATGCTCTACAGTTAGCTTGGTCATGAATATTCTCCCTTAAATTGGACAGTCTGGCTGCTTTTATGGAAGTGCCTTGGTACATTTACAGCAAGCAATCCTTCTAAGAACATGCCAGATGCATAATGCAGCACCCCCTTTCACAAGCACCCTCCCCCTCCCACCACTCCCATAAGGGGACATGAAATCCCATGCACAGCTGAGCCGTCTGGGGCTATTCATTTGCCAGGTTCTTTGGCAGCATTTCAACAGAAGGGCCAAACATTCTTTTACAATTTAAATCCGAATAGAAGGAAACATTTTGCACATTGGCCAAACAGGACATACATAGTATACAGGGTGGGGGAGAGGAGCATCCTTTAATATAAGGCATCTTTCTCCTGCCGTTTGCGGACCCCCCGTGCATGGGCATATGCTTACCATCACAACTGTTGCATTTCCTCTGGCAGACCCCCTAAGAACTGACAGCACTATGCCACCACTGTCTCCACTGTTGTGTAGTGTGCTGGTCAGTTACCACCCTCCATCCCAGAGACAGTAGCATTTCAGGGGAGATGTGGAGGGAGTTGCGGGCAGAACTGTGGTTCTACACACATCTGTTCAGAACACATAATGGTGTGATGTGGCATCAGCACTTTCCTGGCATTAAATCTGAGATCATCACATTCCCAAGTAGGAGTGAGCTGGATCCATGATTCAGTGGCCCAGAACTCCTGCACCTCTATTTAAGTGCTGAGCAGACTCCCCTCCCAGTTAAATCAACTTCCATGGAGCCAGCCATTCCCAGCAGGGAGGAGTTGCTCCAGCTGTATGCAGGGATGTGATTTACACTCAAGATTCATTTCGCTGAGTTTGCCATGATGTCAATTGCTTCATTTTGTGTCGGTACCACGTAGAATGTAAATACAAAAACTCTCCAGCCCTCTGCTGAGTGTCAGACCCTCATATCGTTTATTTACTTTGAGTGCCTGCTGCATTAGTCTCACAGTGGCATTCTTAATAATTAACAGAAAAAAAGACAGATTTACAGGCTCAGATGGCAATATGAGAGGATGAGTACAATCAGAAGCACGCGAGAAACCCCTTGCAGTTTTATAAATACAACTAAAGGAATCCAAACAAAGAGACGCCACATAAATAATCCTCACATATGTGGGATGATGAGTGCTACCTACCCAGAAAGCTTCTGCACGCCTCTTTCACAGCACTTCTAGGTAATTCTTAGTAAGTCAGACATATTTGGTTCATTGTTGAGGTAGCTGATGATTTCATAGAATCCTGAGTTAATTAAGGGCCTGAATCAAGTTTTTTATAAACCAAACTCCCATTTTTGGGAACGGGAGTTCTCTACAAGGGTGTCAATCACCTCTGTGCAGATGGCCAAAAAGTGAGGTCCCACATAGCCCCCTGCCTATACTGCAATATGACCTAACTCATGCATGAGCTCTGTGCTGGCTGGCTGCATGAGAGAGAATTTCATCAATTCAGCACTCAGAAGCTCAAGCCTTTAATGTGTCCTTTCTACGGTACAAGAATCTTTGGTACCAAAATATGTGCAAAAAATTCCAGAACAAACAAAATCTTCATCCACTTTCCCCTACATACTTATACAATATTTATTGCTACCTCTCCAACATACTAGCTAATGCTGAACCTAAATATTTCCTTTACAATTAAATCATTTTATAAATAGTCCTTCCAAGTTCTTTATCCTTGACAATCATGAGTGTGCAATAAACAGAAAAAATAGTGCAAATCAATACGTATTCATTATTTGGCTAGTGAAAGGAAACATGCAAGCAATGTTTTTCTAGTTCTGTGACATATTTCAAGAGACACTGTCAAGGTTTGTAGGCACAAAATGCTATCCTTCTTTCTCCATTATTTGTGTGCAAAGTCCATGTAAATCCTTATAGGGTTGGGAAGAGACCTTTAAACAAATGTTTCAATTCTCTTTTTCTTTAAAAAGAAAAAGATTCTCAACTCCCCAGTAACAGCCAGTCTGTGCCTGAAATTTACAACACGGGTACTATATCAATTAGCAGTCCTGCTTCCCAGCTTTAGCAAAAACATATGCCTTTTACTGAACCTCTATGCCAGACTGGATTTTGTCCTGTGTGTTTAAGGGAGAAACAGAATTCTGCCAGGACTTTGGATGTCACTTTATGTGGCTGCATCATCTGGATTTTGGACTCTCCAAAGTTAGTATCTTTTTGATCAAGGGCGACTGACACACTCACAGAAGGCCAAGATTTTCAAAAATTAGAGCCTGAAGTAAAATATCTTAAATCCATACTTAGCTGCCTAACTACGTGGGCTTTTTAACAGCACCCAACAGCTCCCCTGAAGGTCATTGAGAGTTAGAGAAACAAAGACCTCAATTTTGCTTGAGAAAAAAAATCAATGATGGATTGAAGAAACCTCTATTTGCAACATCGATAGGAAATGGCGGATCAAGTCTTCAGGATGGGTAGCTCACTGACTCCAGTGGGAGTTTTGCAAGCAGAGAGTGTGTGGGATTTGACCCTCAGTGCACATATCTCAAGGAAAAATATCAAAACATCAAGGACTCCTGGGCCCATCCTGTTCGTCAGCACTTATATATGCCCATTGTCGTAATTGAGAGAGGGACTCTGCTAACATGTAGCAGAACTGAATTTTTAAAATTCCATTTTATCTGAATTACACTAAAAAAAAAACAAGCATCCAAGAGTGGGCAGCACCACAATAGTAAAGCAGCAGGCACATAAAATGAGAAAGTATAAAAGGACACAGCATTCAGTGCCGGGGTTTAAGTGATGCCTATGCAGAACAGCACAAAAGCAAAAGGATTTCATAGATGTCATCTGACATGACATGCTCCCCTGCAACAGAACATTTCTATGCCATGCAGACAAACAAGGACTAGAAGGAATGTACTGAGGTAAAAGAACTGCAGCCAGAGTGTGCCTGGCCCTTACCTATATATCTCCACAGCAATGAAAAAGTCACAGCTGGCCCAGGAAAGCTGACAGAATTGCCGGCCTCCTGCACAAGGCATGGGGAAAGAGGCTCCCTGCTTCTGGAAGGAGCGTGGCCTGAGGTAGAAGGGGCAGCCAACCTCAGCACTGCCCAAACTGTGTCACAGCCTCCCTCAGCATGCCCTTAGAGCTGCCCAGGGCTCTGGTACCAATTTAAAATAGCAGTGGGCAGGAGCCCCAAGTCCTTTTAAATCACCAAGCCTGGAGGAAATTGCCCTCTTTGCCCTGGTGGGCCTGGCTGGTCCTTGACTCAAGCGTGCAGGGCTCAGGGCACAGGGCTGTCCCATTACTGTTTAGACTTCAAGGCTTGGGCTGGCGTCCAGCTTCAGCACCTTGTGGAGCAGGAGGGTCCCAGAATTCAGGCTCCAACCTGGGCCCAAAAGTACTCAGCAATGAAACAGGCTCAGAGCCTGAGCGAGAATCGTCAGACCCACTGACCAACCATGGCTGTGTAGACATGCCCTGCATGGGTGCACAGAGCAGAGGCTGTATGCAGCCTTCTCCCAGTTATGTGGCTGACTCATGTGAGAGCCTGCAGAACTGCACAGGGCCTGCTTCCACGCTGCTCTCCCGAAGGGATGGAAAGGAGGCAGAACCATCGCTCAATCCCCAACCCACACTGGCCAGCAGCACTGGGTGGCCACAGCGTCATGTTAGTAGCAAATGTGCACATGCCTGGGAGTGGATCTGCAGATACAGCTGCTCACATTTCCCATTGGCCATGGTTCGTCTTCCTGGCCCACTATGAACCATGGCCAACGGGACCTTCAAGCAGCCGTGTGGGTATGCAGGTAAACAAAGCATCTGGCAGCCACTGAGGCTATGTCTGCACAGCAGTGTTGTGTCAGAATAACTGACGTTATTCCGAAATAACATAGTCCGTGCCCACTTTACAAGCAATTGTTTCAAAATAATGTCAAAATAATCTCGAGCTGGAGGACTTCTTACTCTGACTCCTTTATCCCTCATTTTATGAGGAGAAAGGGAAGTCACAGGAAGAGCGCTCTTCCTTTGACTTCCTGTTATGTAGACAGCCCAAAAGCCAAAATAAGCTATTTTGACTCAATCTATGCAATTGACATTGCTCAAGTTGCATAGCTTATTTCGACTTCAGCCCGGGTGTGTAGACGTGTCCTTATTGCCCACCATGACCAAGAGAATGTCCTTAATGTTTTTCTCACCTAATACACCACCAAATGCCTAGAAACACGCGTCCCACTTGCACAGGCAACACACACGAGGGCCAACTCGCTTTCAGTCACAATAAGAGACTTGTGCCTTAAACATGCGTCCGAATGGCCTGAACTACGCATTTCATAAAATAATAACCAGCTAATGAGCTTCACACCTGGGGATGAGCCCCAGAGACAAACATGGGCTACCCAGGTTTTAGCAAACATACTTGGTGACAACACAGCCAGAGGGGTTTCTGTACATGATTCTGGACAGTCCACAGAGACATCTGGGTTCTTCTCTGGCAGCAGGATGAACTTCATTTTCTGAAACACGCCCACATGTCTACAGCCCAACTAATGGCTGCTGGCTAAAGAGCAGCGTGGAACTTCATGTGGAATCGGAATTCCTCCTGCTGCAGGAAGCTCTTGCCACACACGGTGCAAGTGCAGCCTTTGTCCTTCCTGTGGGTGCGCTGCACATGGCTGTCGTGGGCCGCGTGGGAGGCAAAGGCTTTGCCGCAGTGTCTGCACTTGAAGGGCTTCTCTCCCGAGTGCTGGCGAATGTGAGTGCGCAGGATGCTGGAAGCTGTGAATGCCTGAGGAGGTGGCCAAGTTGGAAGCGGGGAGAAAAGAGGTTAAAAGCAGTTATAGAGCTATACAATCTAGAAAATAATCTCCTAAAGGCCCCACCTCTGCCCTGCTCAGAAGACTCACGTAGGACAGTTAGTATAATACTGACACATTGACCAGTCTGTTTCCCATCAGAAAGGCAACGGAATCTCCCTTGATGGGACAGCCCTTAGATTATTCTGCTCATTCAGAAATGAAGCCATTCCGAAGCAGGACAGTCTACGCAGTAGTAGGTACCTCAAAATAAACTACATAATTTGAGCTACACAAATTGCCTGGCTTATTTTGAAATGTGGTGCTGTCTACACAGTGCTAAATTTCAAAATAAATCACTATTCCAGTCTCTTGCTTAATCCTTGTGCAACGAGGTTTACAGGAAGCCAGAATAAGAAGCCCATTATTTTGAATGTATTTCAAAGTAACAGGCTTCCTGTATAGAGAGCGCAGATAACGATTTTGGAATAACAGATGTTATCCCGAAATAGTGCCGCAGTGTAGACGCACCCTTAGGAACTGATTCCCGTATCCGCTACACCAGTGAGCACAGGTTAGCGCTAACACCACCAAAAGTCAATGAACTCCTTACATTTGTATGAGAGAAGAATTAGGTCCACTGGTTATAATGAAGACATTTCTGACCAGATGACACCAGCATATATTTTCCACGTGTCAAAGGAGGCTGGATCAAGTCAATAGTGTATTTCATTAGCTGTGTATTGATTAGCCACTGGGTTTTTTTGACACAAGTTCCCTTGTTCAGTGTTTGTTTTCAGAAACTTCACCCACAAAAGGAATTTGTTTTTATTTCTGTTACAAGTCTCATAAAAGCAAAACAATTATTTTGTTATCGCTGCTAGTGCTGCCTTTTTGGTTCTCAGATATACAGGGTTGAAATTCAGAGGCCAGAACTAAACGGGCTCATATTTCTCCATCCGCATTACCCACAAAACCCTTCTTCATCTAACCACCAATAGCTGTTGCTTTCCAAGCAGAACTACACCTCTAGATCATTTGACTTGAGTGTGAGTGCAAGGGAAACAGTGCAAAGGAACTTGGGGGTACATATCAATCAGCAAGGGAAAGGAGGAAGAATCTTGTTATTAAGGAACAAGACCTCAATTTTGCATCTGTCTCTGACAGTGTTCCCCTGTTATCCTGAGCTAGTTAGGGTAACAAGAGCAAGAATTTGTCCATGCCCCATGTTCCTCATCTGAAGGCTACAGCTGCATTGACTGAGCCAGTACAAGCCAGGTTACTTTGGAGCGGTAAGAGAACTTAGTAAATTAGAGGAGGCAAGAGAACTTATGAGCGTTTAGGAAGAGTACTAATGTTCCAAAATGAGAGAATTAAGAATGGAAATTTGCCCAGCCTCAGAGATCTACTGCCAGCTCCCTGGAAGAATAGCATCCTACAGAATGAGGATTAGTTATCTTGCTGACTGCAGAGAGCTCTACCATTGATATAATTAAGCCACCTCCAATGATCAGCAGTAGCTGTCACACCAGCACTCCTCTCGGTATAATTTATGTCCCTGGAGGGTATGTTTTCCATATCCCCAAGAGACGGAAGTTATACTAACAAAAGGGCTAGTGTAGACATCATGAGAGACTCGTTGGGACTCCCTTTGGGACTGCCAGAGCTCAGTGCTGAAAGACATCCAACAGCACCCGGAAGGCTCTGTTCTCTCACTCCGGTTCAAGAGGCAGGGTGCCAATGACTGGGAAAGGAGAACAAGGACAAAGCCTGTTCTAGAGAGCTTCCTCTGAGTTGTGTTGCAGCAGTGGAGGACAGTCAAACCACTGCAGCTGTTTGCAACAATCTGTATACAAAAGTAACTTCTCATTAAAAGTACATCAGGTATTTCAGCTGATGCTTCTGCATCAACTGTAAACCACTGGCAGGACAAACTGTCCCGGCACACCTCAAGTCCTAACCAGTGACATACAACAGCCACCTTTCAACCCAGACCCAATTCTGTACAGAGCAGATCCTTTGTCTGCAGGTGTCCCCACTCTGTGTGGAAGGAGAGATCAGCTGCCTTCACAGCATCATCCTCCTACCCAAAGCCAGTGGGAGACATGTCCTGGGTCCAGGGTGTGTGCTAGAGTAAGGGTAAAAGGAACCATGCAAACTGGGAGGAGGGCAGGGATGAGGAAAGGAGAAGGAGAGGATGTATAATGGCTCCTCTCTCCAGTCCCACAGTTTAGTCAGAAAAGCAATGCAGCCAGGCCATAGCTTTTCTACACAGCTACCCAGAGGTTCTCACTAGGGATGTTAAGGACTAGTCGACTATCCAATAAGCAATTGCTAATCGGACAGTCGATAGACTAGTCGACTAGTTGCTTCCCCCCACTCTTGCTCTCTCTATCAGACAGAGGCAGCAAGGGGGGGGAGGGGAAGGGGAGTACTTCGAAGTGGCAGCACTGCATGGAGCTTTGGGGAGTGCCGGTGCTTCAAAGGGGCAGTGCCACCTTATCGACTTATCGAATAGTCGATGCAACAATGCATCAACTATTAAATTAGTGAATTACATGATACTAAGCTTCCTTAGTTCTCAAGGTTGGCATTGCCAGAACAGAATAAGGGAAGTGGGGCGGGGGAAGGAGGGAAGTTATCATGGGCAGACAAGCTGCAGATGGATGGGCCTGATTTCACATTGATCCCTGAAGACCACTGAATTTGAGTACCACCCTCGTTGCCTATTCCATAGGACACAAACCTCACCCTCGATAGAAAATTAAAGAGAGGAACAGAAATTTCCTCTCTCAAAGCTTCCTTCCAAGGGTTTCTCCACAAAAATGTATTAGCTAAATTCTGATCAGGAAAATCCTGCCTTCTAGCTGCCTCTTTGGGCTTGTCTCCACTTTGGGGTGATCAATTCATCAGAGTCAATTTAGCAGGTCTAGTGAAGACCCGCTAAATCTACAGCCAATCACTTTCCCGTGGACTCCATTATACCACCAGAATGATGAGTAAGGAGTGGATGGGAGAGTTTCTTCTATCGATCCAGCATGGTGTGGATCCCCGTATAGGCAGAGCTAAGAACAGAACTTTAACTGTGTAGCTTAAATCCACCTGTCCCTATAGTATAGACCTTCCCTAAATCATCAAGACATGGACTGAAGAGAGTATTAGCAGTAGCACTATTCGAAGCTGAGCTTTTTAAACAAACCACATAATATGTTTTTCAACCTGCTCTTTCAAAGATGAGCCTGTGGTCAAACAGCACACACAATACTTAAGCACGTGGGTAACTCACATGTAGCCCCACTGACTTCAATGTTGTCATTATTCACATGTATAAGAGTTATAGGGTCAGACCTGTGGGCCAGATTCTGCTCATCTTACTCATCAAGTAGTGTTAATCAGCAAGGCTGCAAGTCTTTCACAGAGGTCACGGATTCCAGGACTTATGCAACAGCCAATACAGCTGAGCCCTGGGCCTGTGTTATACTGGTTGCTGCTCAGGTGGCCTGGGGCAGCTGGTCCCAGGCTCTGCCCCAGAGCAGCAGTCAGGGCCCTGCAGCAGTGGAGCCCTGTTCCCTGCCCAGAGCAGTAATGGCAGGGCCTGAGGCAACCACCATCCACCCAGAGAAGCAGCAGAAGCAGCAGTGGGGGCCCGGGGTCACCCCCTACCCAGTAGCTCATAGCCTTCCCCCCTCCAGGAGCAACAGCTTCCACCAGAAGCACCCCATACACACGCACTGAGCATCTGTAGACGTGCCCTCCCTCAAGCATCTAGGGTTTAGTTAGGGACACTTTTAGCGAAAGCTGGACAGGTCCTCAAACTTTTTTTCATCCACAAGTGGAATAAATGTTGTTATGTGCACCAAGACACATGCAGATGTGCACCACCAATAGAAACACGTGCTGCCAGCTGTGCTCTGCTAATCAGCTCAGCAGCATTTAAAACTCTCCTGGGTTGCAACCCAAGTGTGCAGCTTACAAGGGACATTGGTCATGGGCTGTGACTTTTTGGTTATTGACTGTGATCTGTCCATGACTTACACTAAAAATACCCCTAATATATCATAGCCTTACAAACAAGAGCAGGGACTACTTGGTTTTGAAAGGGAGCCAATATGGACCCGCAAAGTTTTTCAAACCATGTCCATTTGTTTCTATCTAGGGTATTCACCAAAGTATCTGAGTCCCTCAAAATCATTGATAGATTTCATTCTCCCTCCAGTAAACAACATGACAGCCTCAGCCAATTTGTAGGTGAATTTCTTTGGGTTGTTTGAAAAACCTATAAAAAGAGGCTTCTAGTGCCTGAACTAGGAAAAGCAATGAAAAAGAACTACAAAGAAAAGTGCCTGTTCATACTGTGGAATACTGAAAATCAACAGGTGTGCTAGGGGGAAAAGTGAGCTTAAGAGGATTTAATTTTCCTTTACCTTGTTACAGTACACGCATTTGTAAGGCCGCTCTCCGGAGTGCACCCTCATGTGTTTATTCAGGCTGGAGGACTGAGAAAAGCTCTTCCCACATACTGAACACTGGAAGGAAAACATAAAGTTAAGACAACAACTAAGAATTTCCTATCAGAGTGCAAGCCAAAAACTGGTCAAAAATGTTAGAGAGAAGAGAGGTGTTTGTGTGTGTGTAGCTGCATACGGGCATGCACACACACACACACACAGACACACAGAATACATCTAACTAATACAATCAGTTTACTTAATAAGTGGCAAAATGTTTTAATTCATATTTATAAGAGCTAATAAAAATGTACTATTTTTTTATTTCCCTTTTTATTTTCCAATTGTGGGGTTCGAGATGGATCCATTTTTCATTTGCCCCAAAATGTGCATGGTATTTTGAAATCAAATTTTAATCAGAAACATTATTGAAAATCTTTGGTAATCAAAACGTTTGTTTTGGTTAGGTGAACATTCTTCTGCAGCCCTTTCAGTAGTGGGACAACAGCTATTTTGATTTTTTAAAAGTTAAAAAAAAATCCAAATACATTTTTAATTTTTATTAAAAAAAAACCACTGAATGTATATTTAGAAAATACTGTTTAGATGTTTTGACCACCTCCATTCTTCATAATTAAACTATCCCATGCTTCAATCCTGAGAGCATTCAGTCTTCAGAATTTGTTCCCCCTCCCTCCCAACAATTAAACTGAAAATCACTACCTTCCTTTTAACAAAACAAGCAATAGTGTGATACATATTCTGTAGCCTGAGACTTCAGTGGAATCTGGCCCAAACCAAGAGTTTTTCTGTTACATTTTCCAGGAGCAAAATTCAGCCAGGACTGGGGAATGACAGGAGTAAGGTTTCAAAACAAATTGGAAATTTAAACAATATTTGGTCTCAGAATATGGCTCTTTGCGAGAAAAACATGGTCTGACTTAACTGAAGGTAAAGTCTATGCACAATGGATTTTTCTCGTTGCTGTTTTGTCTTAAAATATTTTTTGAAAGAAAGAAAGAAAGAAAGAAAGAAAGAAAGAAAGAAAGAAAGAAAGAAAGAAAGAAAGAAAGAAAGAAAGAAAGAAAGAAATCCCAAAACTCTTATTTAATAAATTCATGTCAATCTAAATCTCTAATCCCTGTTGCTAAATCAGTAGGCTGCTACTATTGTTATTAAATTAAACGTTGCTGAATTAGCTATAACAAGTTTCACTGGGAAGTTATCTTTATTTCAGGAAGAAATTAAATAAAAAAGATGGCATTTGCTCATATGAAAGTGAGATATCACTCTGTTGTGTGACAAACTTGATCCTGAGTGAGTAGTTATGAATATTTCTTACCACATTTCCAGTGCATCAAACAGAAGCCTCTGGGGGTTCTGGGAGGATATTGATTGGTAGAGACTAGTCAAGTATCACAACATAAATTTGCTCCCATAAAATAATTTTCTAGACATTTAGATTTCCACCTTTGCCACCTTCCTGCTTAAAAGTATCCAGCTGAACGCTGTGGCCGTAGTTTCATTGGATACACATAGAAGAAATTATGGGAGGAGTCAGGAAGAGTAACTGTTGCGAGCTGGGATTTGATACAGATCGGAGCTAGTGTTCCTGCCATCCTGGTAATCCCTGTAATCCTGCGCGCTGCCAGCCTCCAAACAGAACACGTTACAGCCCGGGACAGCAGCGCACACAGCCACGACGGGGGTTTAGGTAGTGGAGGTGAGCTGGCAGACCCTCTGGCTAACCTGAGCCCCCAGCCTCTGGGACAAATACCAGCCAGGGGGAAACGCTCAGCCCTTGAGAAACCTGAAGTCCCGCTAACAGCTCCCGATGGGAAACCCAGCTGGGAACTCAGGAAACCAGTATGCAGAGCCCTTCAAGAGAAACCTGGCTGTAAATTAAATACGAGACTCCCCACCCCAGCCCGTCTTCCCCGCACAGAGGCTAGATCAAGTCAGCCTTGCCCTGCCTGTCCTCATCCTCCGCCCATCGGGAGCTTTACACGCTAACGAGTGGGAGATGCATTTACTTACAATACATAGCCATGCCTGCACTCGGGTTTAAACTCGGCTAGCCCTCTCCTAATGCACCTCTCACTTGTGCTCCGGGAAGGCGCGGAGTTGGCTTTCAGATCTTGCCTTTCAAACTACCCCGATTCACGCAAACCTGCCTTGTGCAGCATACAACAGCCGGCTACCGCGGAAAAACAGCGGGTGTTCCCGCAGTGCGCCCACGTGTCCTGGCTTTAAAGGCGGACCTGTTCTTTAAACGTGGACGCTTAAGCATCCTAGCGGGGCTGCAATTTACAACTGTCGTTTGGGATTGAGGGAGTCCACGACAATTAATTGGTTTCGCTACTAGATTTCTGACAGGAACCAGCACCCAGAGCTTGAGAGGAAATCTTGGAGAGGGGTAAAAGAAGGCAGCCGCAACCCCTACCTTGTGAGGTCTGTGTTTCTCATGCACGTGAAGAATGTGGATCCGCAGTCTATCTCGCTTTTCAAACGACCGGTTGCAAAGATGACAGGGGAATTTTCTGTCTCCTTGATCTACACAGCGAGTGTATTTCAGATGTTTGTCTCTGTAGTATTTGTAGGCAAATACCTTGCCGCATCTCTCGCATTTGTAACTCTCGCCAGACTCTGTGCAACACAAGGGGAAGGTGCCTTCACTTAAATACTCCGCGGAACATAGCTGTGCAGTTTCAAATGTCAGGGCTGGAATCCAGCCAAAGAGCATTTTAGCTTTTTATAATTACAATCATTTTAAGCAAGAATCACAATATCACTTAAAAATACAACTGAGAGAACAAGCTAGACTGAAGTCTCCTAAGCACGTTACTGAATTTTCTTTTTCTGTTCTTAAATTCTACCTATTTTCTCTCTTACAAGAGAGTGTCTCACATAAATATTTGTTGAGTGAAATCTTGGCTTCACTGAAATCTCTGGGCGTTTGCCATTAATATTAATGGGGCCAGGATTTCGCCCCTTCTGTCTCTTACCTTCCAACGGAGATCTCTATTTCTTGTCTGAACGCAGACTCCGAAGTATAAAGTAAACATTTCACTTCATATCTGGCAAAGCAAACCTGACTTGCAATATAAAACAGCCCCCTGCTCCTGATAAATACTCGGTATGATCACAGATTTACTAATATTGTAAGTTTCATTTCTCACTTAAAATCAATGTATAGAAGTTGTTTGAAGTATAGAAATAATGTCAGTTATGTGCTATGCAAGTGTGGTGGTGGGGTTGATTGTGTTTGGACTCTCGAAATTCTACTGTATTTTAAACAAATCTTTAAAACAGCCCCCTGCTCCTGATAAATACTCGGTATGATCACAGATTTACTAATATTGTAAGTTTCATTTCTCACTTAAAATCAATGTATAGAAGTTGTTTGAAGTATAGAAATAATGTCAGTTATGTGCTATGCAAGTGTGGTGGTGGGGTTGATTGTGTTTGGACTCTCGAAATTCTACTGTATTTTAAACAAATCTTAGAT